AAAGAATACAACCTTGTTGCACACCTTTCCCAATTTTAAAACATTCAGTGTTCCCATGCTCTGTTCGAACAACTGCTTCTTGGTCCAGATACAGAATCCTCAGAAGTACAATTAAGTTATACTCATACTTCTCAATGTTGTCCATAGCTTGTCATGATCCCCACAATCGAAAGCCGTTGTGTAGTCAATAAAGCACAGGCAAACATCTTTCTGATATTCTCTGCTTTCAGCCAAGATCCATCAGACATCAGCAATGATAAGTCTCGTTCCATGGCCTCTTCTGAATCAAGCTTGAACCTCTGGAAGTTCTCTGTCAATGTATGATTGTAGCCATTTCTGTATTACCTTTAGCAAAACTTTACTCGCTTGAGATATCAAAGAGACTGTCTGATGATTTTCGCATTCCATTGGGTCACCTCTCTTTGGAATGGGCACAAATATGGATCTCTTCCAATCAGTCGGCCAGATAGTTGTCTTCCAAATTTCTTGGCAGAGATGAGTGAGTGCCTTTTGTGCCTCCTCACTTTCTTGAAAGATTGCAATTTTTATTCCATCAATTCCTGGTGCCTTGTTCTTTACCAATTCCTTCAATGCACTTTCTTTTTTAACAAATTTCTATTTTCCTAGATTCATACATTGCATATTCCATGTTGCAATCATTAATGGATGTTTGCTGTTGTTTCTCCTCATTTGCATTGTGCCCATCAGTCCATGTTGGTCCCAAAAGCTTTACTCCATTTGTGTCAGCATGGTAAACTCTACTTTGAGGAGGTACAACTTTCTAAATCATACTTTTAGTGCCTTACAACCTGAAAGGCCCATCTTCAGGCAATACATTTGATAATATTCTGATACTATTCATCATGTTTCAATATTCAGTAATTTGGTGCTGTCTGACACTGATTCACTGCTATTCATAGTGGCTAAATATTCTGAAGTAATCCACCTCTTCTTCTTGCTAATCTGTCTCAGTCTGTAAGCTCAACTGAAACCTGCCCATCACAGGTGAACCTGCTGGTATTTAAAATACTGTGGTATTACTTCCAGCAACACACAAGCCACCACAGTAAGACAAGCTGACAGATGAATGGTGGGCTGTTCTCTCTACAAATAATAGAATGTGAAGATGGAGGGCAGGGGGTGAAGTAGGGTGAGGGGTGGACGGAGGTGATGGTGTTAAAATGAGAATTCAGGTTAAATTTATAAATTAAGTTCTTTGGGGGGGGGGGGGAATGGAATTAAACACTGGAAGAACGTAGTTAAGGACTATCCAGAATAGCTACTTTTGGTAAGAGAGAGACTTTAGCTATTCAACATTAAAGGAGCTTTAAAACTGATAAATTTCCCAATTTATAACTCTTGATAATAAAAATTTGTAATTTTCAGTAAGACATTATCTACTGCCACCCATGGTCTTAACCATTGAAAGGCATGTTTTCTGTTCCACCTGCCAATTCAAAATCAAGTGTGGCCACCCTACGTTTACAGCAAATATTATTCAGTGACCACACACCCTTACCACAGCCTGTGATCCTACTGATAGCCTATTCATCCCATTTATGTGCTATCTAGTCTGGTGTGGCGCTGCAGTTAATGTGTTGGACTACAAGGTCGGTGGTTCAAACTCACCAGTTA